GTTCTACATAGTAATATTAAAGAGACATATGATCTTCAACTAGCTAACCAATTCAATTGAGTTTTGTAGTTTGGTTTGAACTAATCCTGAATTTGCATCATACCATCTGAGTAGGTTTTGGTTGTTCATCCTGAAGTCCATCCCCTTATTTCCTTGAGCGCTTGAGTGATATCATGAATCATATAAAAGAGCAAGCTTTGCTTTGTCAATTTAAGCTTTGTATTTTCTGTTTTTTTGGAGCTTTTTCTAGTGTTATATAGCTTTGTTGGATGAGAAATTGAGTAAAGCTAATCATATTTATATCATCTTTTTCACACTTTTGTTGGACAGAATAGAAAAGGGACCAGTAGACAGTAGTTCAAAGACCTCTTTGGTCTAAAACTGTATGTGGATCATGTGGTCTTCTGCAATTAGCTATAAAATTGAGGGTAGCATACCTGAATGAGATGATTTTGGTAAAGAAGAAAAAAGACAATTCTTTTTCTGATTATAGGAATCAGAATCAGAACTTGATGGGTTGATTTTGTTTCAGAATATGTACAGTTGGGAGAACAGATTGCTTCAAGAATGTTTGCCGTCACTTTAGAGTTGGTAAAGTGAATCAGATTGAACTATTTCATAGAGTCCCCATTTTTATGTAGATCTGGGAATTAAATCACCAAAAGTAAAATGATAATCAAAATCCATTGACGAATAGAAGGAAGGGTGACCTTCTTTGGCAATTAATCTGTCTCGACTCTCGAGACATCATAACCACTTCCCGGAATTTTGTAAAGCCCACCGGGAAAAAACTGAAGCTTTTAGTCTCTGTTTCCCGATACTACATAATCATATCAGTTTCAATAAGTTCATGAGGATTAGTCTTTTTTCCATTGTTTTTGAGATGAAAGCTCAAACCTTTTAAGATGAAATACTATGTCTCTTAGAACAATTGAGTGGAGCGTATTTTGATTGTTACTAAGTTATAGAAAAAAGGTTTCTCAACTTGGAGCCCAACTTTTTCTTTTCCTAAATAAGTAATGAAATGTATGGACCTGGGCCCCTAGGCTTTCTGCTAATCTGCTTTCGTTCTATTGGGCTTAAAGAGTGGGCCTATATATATATCCTTGGACCGGATTTGGAAGAGTCGGGTCTGGTGATTCTAGACCAGGTTATAGGCTTGGTCTCAGTGGGACACGGATGAAGCTGAGGGGGAGTACCATGCATGTCCATATCACCTATCACACCTATAGTCCTATCCGGATGAGTGCAAGGGGCACATGCACTGGATTGGGGAGCGCCAAAGATTCAGCAAGTACGAAGAGGACAAAAGTGGTCATCTGGTTGATCACCAATTATTGTAAGACTTTTACAACAAGGGAAAGGACATCTGTTGTGCACACAGCCAGCTTAGCTTAGCAGATACTCCCTGTCTTGTTTGCTTTAGCACAAGGTTTAAGAAAATGGGTTAAAAGGTAAAAGTTGTGGTTGAGGTTTGAGTAAAAAAAGCGAATTGATCTGAGCCACATATTAATATATTATCCTCAAAAGAGGAAACAAGGAATATATTTTGGGACATGCTAAAAAGGAAAACAAGGCAATTATTTCGGGACAGGGGAGTGCATCATATAACCCAATTACTTAGGACAGCATCACACATGCAAGTAGCCTGATCAGCTTTTTGTCCCTATAATTATCTTTGTTCGGATTGTGGAGGAGCTTATAACTAGTCATTAGTACGATACTACTCTTTCCATTTAGTTTTCATATTCCGAATTTCCAATAATTCATGAATAAGATTCTGTAACTACCTTTATAACCGTTTATAAGGTCTTGAAGATGCAATTGGATTTATAGTTGCAAGATGCATAATTAAAGGGGACTTTTTATCTCTTTAACAATAAAAACTTCTTATACCCTTCAGTAATTACATTATGTGGCGTTTTATGTGATGAACTTCAATAATCATATGAGCTAACGAGCGCTTGGTATTACCTTTTTCATTTTCTTATATCACCCCTATCTTATACACTGAAGAGTGCTTGCAAATGCTTTTAAAAAACACTTTTTAAAGTAATTTTAAACTCCTAACTAAATTTTGCTTAACAAAGCTATAAGTATAGTATTATAGTTAAAAAATACACCAAAAAGCACTTCTTACCAAGTAACCAAACACTTTAACTAAAAGCATTTCCACCCAAGGGTGCTAAATACCCAGTCGCTCCCCTTTTTCATGTTTGGGGTGAGGTAGTCTTGTAGATTTTTACTCATTTGCGCTTTTATAAAATCTATAGATTATGCAGATATTCACTTGCATATCATGTTTTTAAATGATAAATGTAGTTGTCGTATATCACCATAACTTCTTATGCTGACTTTGGCTAGTTGCTAATCAAATGCTTTTGCAGATTGATGGTTTGAAACTATATGTTGGGATGCCAGTCGATGCAGTTTCCGATTCTCGTACAGTAAACCACGCACGAGCTATTGCCACTGGTCTAAAAGCTCTGAAGTTACTTGGAGTAGATGGCGTGGAACTGCCAATCTGGTGGGGTGTTGTTGAGAAGGAAGCTAATGGGAAGTATGACTGGACTGGCTACCTCGCTGTCACTGAAATGATCCAGAAGCTTGGGATGAAGCTTCACGTCTCATTCTGTTTCCATGCACCCTCCATGGAACCCAAAATTTCACTTCCCAATTGGGTTTGCAGAATTGGTGAATTAGATCCTAGCATCTTCTATACAGATCGTTCAGGACACCAGTACAAAGATTGTTTGTCCTTAGCTGTTGATGATCTTCCTGTTCTTGATGGAAAAACTCCTCTGCAAGTGTACCAAGGTTTCCTTGATAGCTTCAAAAGTGCTTTTTCCAAGTTCATGGATTCCACAATAACTGTGAGGATTTTTGTCTCCTCTCACTTCATTTCTGTTAACAAACAAAATCCTGCATTGATGATATTAATAATAATAATAATAATAATAATAATAATAATAATACGGATAATGTTAATAATAATAGACTATGGCTTTCTTTTTACATTTGTTAGTCCCACTTGAAAAAATAAAGAAACTAATGTTCTATAAGAATTTGAGTTTGATCTAAATGTCTTGTAGCCCTAGTTGAGTGATACCAACCCAATCTTCAATTCTGCTACCAAAGCAGGTTCTAGCCGACTTTATTTGTCCGGTTATCCTTCAGGTTTTACAACGCTTTCTCTAAAAACTACTCCGTATGTCGTATGTTCGATGCTATTTTACTTGCCCCACTCATCATGCCCTGTCCTAATCCCAACATATCGAATGATTGCCACTAACTGGCACTATTATCAGGGGAAATATAGTAATATAACTGCTTAATTTTTGTTTATATCCGTAATCCATTATTAGTCTTGTAATTGTACTTATTTGCATATCATATCGTGTAACTAATGAGGTTTTTCACATTAAAAACTTTTCCACCATAATGTATAATCCAGGGAAAATTTCACCAAAATGATGCCACTGACAATCATTTTATAGTAAATACTAAATAGTATGTTCCGGTAGAAAAATCATTATTAGGATCCAATTTAAAAGTGAGCAATCGGTTAACTTCAAAATGGTCTAAGTTATCTACCTGAGGGGGGTATTAGCATCCCACATTAAAAAAAAAAAAGTAAAGAGAAGGTGATGGATTGATAAGATCTTGACTTGATCCGGCTAACTGATTGTATTCAATCTTTTAGTGTAATTTACTACTTTGGTCCACTTACTTTTGGCTCTATTGTATATCTCTAACCTGTCTTGAATTCTATTAACACTTATAGGGAATATCAATCGGGTTTGGACCAGATGGGGAGCTTCGATATCCCTCCCATCACGACGAAGCATCCAAGACTACCACCACTAAGCAGCTTATTGGAGCTGGGGAATTCCAGTGTTATGATAAGAACATGCTAACCCATCTGAAGCAGCATGCAGAAGTGAATGGTAACCCTTTGTGGGGACTTGGTGGTCCTCATGATGCTCCGAGCTATAATGACCTCCCAACCTCATCAACTAACTTCTTCAAAGAGATTGGAGGATCATGGGAGAGCACTTATGGAGATTTTTTCCTTTCCTGGTACTCCAAACAGCTCATCACACATGGAGACCAACTCCTCTCCCTTGCTTCCACTACCTTCAGGGACTCCCCGATTACGGTTTCTGGAAAAGTTCCTCTAATGCATCACTGGTTCAAAACCCGGTCCCACCCATCAGAACTGACGGCTGGGATCTACAACACAATCCACAGAGATGGATATGATGAGATGATTAAGATGTTTTCTACAAACTCCTGCAAAGTTATCTTGCCCGGAATGAATCTGTGTGATGAGCATCAGCCAAACGAGTCCCTCTCGAGTCCGGAGTCTTTACTTGCACAGATCATGTCATCTTGCCGAAAACACAGTGTTGAGATCATGGGCCAGAACTCGTGGGCTTCAGGTGCTACCAGCAGTTTTGAACAAATGAAGAAGAACTTACAGGGTGAAAATGGTTCAGGAATCAGCCTTTTCACCTACCAACGGATGGGGGTGTATTTCTTTTCGCCTGAACATTTTCCTTCATTCACGAATTTCGTTCGAAACCTCAGGGAAATGGAACTGGATGAAGATGATCTGCCAGGAAAGGAAGAAGCGGTAGCCTCCAAGTGTAGCTAAGATACTGTTCCAGTTCTGTAATATATGAATGTAGTTTTAAATTTTTAATATTACCAAGCAACTTTATACTATTATATTATGTACACACAGGAGCTGCATCTTGTAAACTTGTAATCTTGTCTGGAGATTGTTTTCCCATCTTAAGAAGGTATATTGCTCTTAAATTCTTGATCGTATAAAAAAAGTTCTCTTTAAGATTTTGTTTGATCAAGTGAGGATACTTATCCAACCAATTTTGTCAAAAGACTCAAAACAAAGTGGCAAATACATTTGATAGGATACACTTTGCTCAAATGAATAATTAAATACAATGTACGTAATCATACAAAGAAATATAATAACCATCAGATTGAACCAGAACTTAACAATAACAATAATTCTCGTGGTAACAATATTTGCACACTCCATGTACTTTTTGTTATTTTGACAGAACTTCTGGCATCGTATTACATCCATAATACAAGTCTATACTTGAACAACGACTCCATAGTGATTTGAAGGTGGAATAAGGGGCTCATTTTGTGTGTAGTCTTCGAAAACAGTGGTGGGATGTTTGGCTGCTTTTTCTAACTTACTGTAAATGGCATAAAGTATTAACTCTGCTGCTCCAAATATGAAGCCCATCCCATTTGGCACCTGCAAACATATGTCACCCCATTTGCAATTTTAAAAGAAAAGGAAGTCACAGTGGCGTATCCATAAAATTTGGCGAGTGGGGGCAAACTTGACTACAATTTAGTCTCATATTTCACAAATAACAAATCACATTATTAATATTGTTTGATTAAATTTAGTTTATAATATCTATGTACAAGTATGAATAAAAAGAAGATTAATTTATATTACGGGTGTGTAAAGATGTAATTGCAGATAAAATGTAATAAATTTACCTAAATATAAGTTAAACAGTCTTAAACATAACAAAATTTAGTGAATTTTTTAGCCTTTCATTCTTTTAATATTAAAGAAAACACTTCTAATCCTATTTTAGATTTTTTTTCTACATTTAACTCTTAATTTGAGCAATTTCTTGTAAAAATTTGGATATATATAGGGGTTGAGTTGGGGTTGAGTGGGGGCAGCTGTCCCCGCTGCCCCCATAGTGGATACGCCACTGACGACACCTATCCCCCACGGCTCAACCCTGGCCGGAGAGTTAGTTTGTGAGCTTTAATCACAAACTAGGAGATAATGAGTGGGGTCTTAGTTCAAGTATTTGCCTTGAAAGAATATTTCAAGCACAATATTTATATTTAGATGTTTACCTTGACATTGTGGATGAAAAGTTATCAATAATTGATAAGGCCATTATAATGAGATATTTGTTATATTTATTTTTATGTGTATCTCTTTAATGGACATTATATTTTTACATTGGGAGGTTCAACAAGTTGTTTTCGAAAATGCTCTTTGTATACACCGGTTTACACGTCGAGTATTTTTTATCTGTGTATAGACGGTTGATGTTCATTTTAGTAAAGGGAAATGTTTGTGACTTGAAAACGTGAATATTGTTTGTGCTACAGATAATCCATTTTTTGGGACTACAGGCAAACACCTTGACTAAAAGAAAAATAAATATTTGTGAACAAATAAAAAATGATGAGTAAGTTGTTGTCGTGCACACATAGAATAATTGAAAATTATTAGGATGCCCCATCCCGATCGTAACATATATATTGAAAAGTGATCATTGTTGATTGATAACTACAACCACAGCCACCACAATCGCTAGTGGTTGCAAGTTTGCAACCACGACAGTGATTGACACTAGCACTATTATTAGGGATCCGCCTAATAATTTATCCACCACATGTTGTCTAGCTTGATTTAACTTGAAAAGTATGTTGGCGTATTTATCTCACATCATACTTCGTATTATTGACATTAAATAATACGGAATAACTAATACTCCGATGAATAAGTCTTAATAACTACACACTATTAAAAAAAATTAGAAACTTGAATTTTATAATTAAATATCAATATAATTATTGCGTAAAAAGAAAATACTTCACATTAGTCTTTTTCACAAGCACAAGACTCAGCGTGCCCCATCCTAATCGTAACATATATACTGAAAAGTGATCATTGTTGATTGATAACTACAACCACAACCACCACAATCGCTAGTGGTCGCAACCACAAGAGTGATTGCCACTAGCACTATTATTAGGGATCGGCCTAATAATTTATCCACCTCATGTTGTTTAGCTTGATTTGACTTGAAAAGTATGTTGACGTATTTATCTCACATCATAATTCGTATTATTGACAATAAATAATACGGAATAACTAATACTCCGATGAATACGTCTTAATAACTACACACTAATAAAAAAAATTAGAAACTTGAATTTTATAATTAAATATCAATATAATTATTGCATAAAAAGAAAATACTCCATATTAGTCTTTCTCACAAGCACAAGACTCAAGAAATATGTGGGAAGAGTACTAAGCCAATTTGCTCTCTTGAGTTAATATCAAGCATGGAGAGAAAATGGCTCTAATTGCAAATTATGAAATTACTATATCAGATTTAGGGGGTGTTTGGAAGTTGGAACTGATTCTGCTTCTGCTTCTTTTTTAAAAGCAAAATCAGAATCAGTTTTCAGAAGCTGGTACCTCACAGCTTCTAAAAAAACCGATTCTGAGAGTAAATTAGAGCTCCAGATGTGCTTCTGGAATTTCACCCAAATACTCCAGCTTCTACCTCTGCTCCCTGAAGGAGCAGAATCAATTTTGAGAATCACATCCAAACACCCCCTTAGAGAGATCAAATTGTAGTAGACTAAACTTAAATTGTTAGATCAGATTAGACTTAGACATATTAGATCATACCAGATCAAATTTAAATTGATCTGACCAAACAAATTGAATGTTTTAAATAATACTACCTCTGGCTCCGCAATGCAAAGATCTTCTCACTTTCCCTTTTCAACTACATAATATTCTCATTTCTAAATCTTCGCAACATATTATCAATAATTTAAAAAAGTACACTATTACACCTATTTTTTTGGAATTATCCTTTATTCCATAACATTATTTATTATCTTTCCATCATACACTCAATAATTTATATCTCATCTCAGTCACTGTTATGGAGGTAGTAGTAACATACACATAATAGGAACTACTGTCATTACAAAATACAGAGTTTTGTCATTTGACACTAGATATTAATGAAACTAGATCACACTATACGTGATTACGTGAACAAATACGGAGTATATAACATTGGACAATACTAAAAAACTTCAATGGAAATAAAACATCTTTATGAGTAAATTGAACTTATTTATACTTTACAATGTAAGAATGTCGACTTTTAGGACTTGCCCATTATTCAATTGGTAAGCAAAATCTGTCGACACATACAACAAAACAAAAAATAAAATAAACTAATTTAATGTAAAACTGATTGGCCGACAGGGAAATGCAACTCTTTAGCAAACCAAACAACAAAGTAGGACTCGTGATTATTTCCAAAAAAGTCTTATCATTGAACTGGACAATATGTACATGTCTTAGTTCATTGACGGATCACCAAGTTGTTGGATTTTATTATTACAAATTAAATGAACCAACCACCAAAACCATTGTAGCCCGCTAAAATACGGAGTAGCTAGTTTCTTTGTAAGCCGAAAATGTATTTTTATTGAAAATTCCTCTCATTTTCATCCAAATTTTGATTAGTCTCCCCGACATTGATCAAATTGACTAATAATGTAATAAAGATATTGAGAATTATAAATAAACTTAAACATAGGAGCATTATTACTTTAAAGATTTTTATTCAAATGACATTATTGAAATAAAATTTATATACAAAAATATGATTAAAATTGATTACTACGTATAATACAGCACTATAGTATCATGATTACTTAATTATAAAAATTGAACATAATTTAGAATGTTTTCTTTTGGACTGAAATTTGCCGGTCTGGTCTGGTCTGTTTAAGTCTGGTCTGTTCTGTTCTGGTAAACGTCTAATCTCTTTATATTTTATAACTATGGAAGTCTGGTCTGGTCTGAGATTGAAAACAGTTCAAAAGAAAACATCCTTAGTATGGTTAAAGTTACTACACTTAAAATGTTACATTTTTATAAATAACCTGTATGTTAGTTCAAATATGTAAATATTTAATTATCAAACGAGTATACTCCGTGTAATGATAATACATACGGAGTACGTTTTTTTAAAAAGTTAAGGATACGAATTACCAAATTTAATAATTTATTACTCAATATTAATTTGTCGTCAGATAGCCTATTCACATGGTCTGAGGACTGAGATTGATACTGAATGAGTACTACGTATAACTTTAGGATTCCATGAAATCTTCTGTGGCCCTCCCATCCCTATTTCATTTTCTTGTTTTTTCTAAAAGTATAACACTCCGTATATTTTTATAGATAGATGGATCAAATCTATTCAAATAAAGTAAGTAATTAGCATATGAAATCGTATCAAACAACGTGTTTTTATTGTGGAAATCCAAACTTCAAACCAAATCAATCTCAAGTGATCCAAAACCGAATTATCAACGGTTTCATGCCATTTTGGTATCATCTTCCCTAAATTGAATAAACCTAACCATAAATAAAAATGCTCACCCCCAATTGGAAGAATGTTTTATAAATATCTTCAATAAACTTGAAGTCAATAGCGGCAAATGTTGAACATTATAGCACTCAATATTTGTCGAATCCTGGCAACTGCGATGAAGGGTTACTATGCTGAAAAATGCATAGGGCCTCTGCAAGTACCGGGGACAGAGCCCCACTCTCTATCTGTCAGATTGTGATTATAGTCCAATTTACATCCTCCCATCGTGTCGTCCGGTCGGTGTTGGGGGGCCCTCAGGGATGGGGTGTCATCCTTTTTTTTTTCTTATGTGTTATAGGGTTTTGCCCATAGACTCACTTATTTGTGTGTCAGCATTTAATGCATTTAACATTTATTATTAATATAGGGAGTATAAATTAAGACTTCATTTTAAGTCGTAACTTGTAGGAGTTCGAAAAATCACTTATTGCAATTTGCAAGATATATTTCTCTCTATGTATTTAATTCAGTCTTTAATTCGGTCTCGAAGATAAACGATGTAAATAATAAACTAATAAAGAGAAATAGTATATATCTAAAATAAACATGATACCATCAAACACAACAAAAAAAACTTACCCCAAGAAACCAGTCGTGGTCTAGGAAAGCATATAACGTCCAAACGCTACCGTTTAGAAAGATGAACAATGACAGGTAAAACGGCATGAACTCCACGCTGTTCGTCCTCATTACAGTCCTCTGGTAAAACAACATTACAATTACTAATTTTCTCGTAGGGAAGAAATTAAATTAGAATCCCATATGAATATAGTTTTTCTTTTCTATAATTTTATCACAAAATACAATCTCTGTTTGGTTATCTACTATACTACACGAGTTAGGTGAATGTATTGATTAAAGTGGTACTCCTATTTATTTAGAGCCCGTTTGGCACTATCCAAATCAACTACATTGGCCGATTCTGTTGAAGTGACTAGATTGATTGATTGATTCGGTTGATTTATGAAAAAAAAATTAGATTCATGATATAGTTTAGTAATTACATAAAGAAAAATTTATATGAACAAATAGTTAAAATAATTCTCTACAGTAAATTCAGCCAGAAAAATAACTCCAACCTTATTTTTTTCTTATTATTACACAATCCAGCGCGAAATAAAAAATTAGGTGTTTCATGAAAAAGTTGGTTATACTCATGATAAAACGGAAAAGTGGAGTCACTAAATGAGCTCTAATCTTTTACGTACCATTGCAGCCAAGGGGGAGGCATACATGATTATATTCAATCCAACACATAGATACCCTATGGCATTGATCAAAGCAGCTCCTTGAAAGACCAACTTGGTTACCAAAACCACCGCTACCACAAACCCTATGTTGAGGAAGCCGACCAGTCCGGCTGTCTTCCGCTACAAACGTTATAAATAAACCATCATTAACCTTAACTAATTGATACTAGGGTATACAGGGGCGGAGCTAAGGGGTCAGGGTGGTCATCCGATGAAAGTTTTGAGAGTATAGAAATCTGAAATATCTTCGATTTGAAAATTATGGCCATTGTAACTCATTACGAGTAAAAATTTATGACTTCTGAAAAATAAACACTATCTAAACGTAAAATCAACAAAATTTGATGCATAATATAGATTATTTTCCCAAAATTTAAAAATAGGGCATAATTCACTCAATACTTATGGGACACGACTTAGACACAGAGCAAAGAAAATCTATCTTATTGTTACGAGTGCCTATTTATCTAAACTGCATATGAAGTATTCAACTCGGATATTGTTTAAAACGATCCACCATTTCCATTCTGTATATAGGCTGAGTTTCGACCTCTTGAACCATTTTTTGGCTCCGCCACTGAGGGTATATACTATCTGTGTTCCATTAATATTAGGACAAGAAAGATTATGCAATGGAATATATAGTGTAAGGATGTTTTCTTTTGGACTGAAATTTGCTGGTCTGGTCTGGTCTGTTTAAGTCTAGTCTGGTCTGGTAAACGTCTGGTCTCTGTGTATTTTATAACTGTTTAAGTCTGGTCTGGTCTGGGACTGAAAACAGTCCAAAAGAAAACATCCTAAATAATTTAACTTGTATTATCCTATATCGATCTTTATTTACTGGTAAAATTCATATTAATAATCCCTACTTTTTAACATTCTACAATAATAATCCATACTTAATAAATTGATAAAAATAATCTGAAGTCTTATACGTGTTCCAAAAAGTAGATGAAAATAAACGTCCCTAACTATTCCGTTGAATCTCATCCCCTCTCCGCTCCTATCTTCAGAGTACGTATATCTTCCTCCTTCCATGAAATCCGTTTTCTCAAGTGAACCGGCATCTTCTTCGAATCTTGGCTATATTCTCTCCAGCGCTTCAATTCTTGAGAAGTATTCATTCATTATATTCGCCGCACAATCCACTCTTATAAATATCACAAACTCTAAATCTACACAAACGGAGTATAAATTAAACAAAGGTTAACCGTAGGGACACACCCTAATTCTAAACGAATCAAAGACAAAGATACATGGATAAACAATCTACGCAAACCCTGATGAGTGAATAAGAGCTCCGAGTGTGAGGCAGTGAGATGAGGTTTACGAGTGTGAGGAAGGGAGAAAGAAGGGAGATCCAAGGTTTTAAATAGCCGTAGCGGCAGCGGTAGCGGTAGCGGTAGCGGTCATCGCGGTAGCGGCCTATAGCGGCCTGTAGCCGACTGTAGCGATTGCAGCGGCGTGAAATATTTTCAATTGCGCAAAACATATATTTAATGAGTGTTGAATTTAATACAAACATTGTGAATATTTGTTTGAACACTTATAACATTAAGAGTTCATTTACACAACATAGACACATTTACACATCAACCCGTTCGTGACGTACTGCCGGAAATGTCAATAGCGGGCTGTAGCGGGCTGTAGCGGACTGTAGCGGACTATAGCGGGCGGCGTAGCGGGTTTTTCCCGTGATTTGGAATTCACAGCGGAATAGCGGGCCGTAGCGGTAGCAGCCCCTACCGCAACCGCTATATAGCGGCCGCTATAGCGGTCGCGGACCGCTATTTAAAACCTTGGGGAGATCCCGTTTTAATTTAATGAGAATTATTCCAAGGACGGATTGTTTGCTATTAAAATTGAAAAGAAAAAGAGTGGAAGTGGGAGGAGAAGTATACATGTTGGGATTATATCTATCAATTTCTTCCGTATCCATTATTAAACTAGAAGGGTAAAGGCGGGGATTGGTGAACTGATAATCACGTACCACACCAACACTTTGGCTCCTCAAGAGTATATATTTTTTTTATGTATATTATGCATATTATGTGTATGATAAGGTATCAAATATAAACATCTTGTAATTTACAAACTAAAAATCCATCTTGATTATTATGAGTTGATCTAAAGACTATCGACACCCAGTACCATTTTGGTAATAAAATCAAACTTTTTCGAATGCAACATTTTGAACGTTGTTAATTAAGAAGCTACTTATTTTATTGCAAAATAATATGTAACACCTTGAACGTTAATATTTGCATCGTTAATACAAACAGCACAAGTAAATGCATCGCACAAATATTTGCACAATAGACACTGTTTGTAACCTTGTACCTAATACGCCCCTTGTGTCTTGGGATATATATTAGAGTATATAGGTAGGTACCTTGATCTTTGGAGGAGCAAAGATGAGGAAGATGAAGACGTAAATGGACTCGACAAAGACGCCTATGGCGTTAATGGTAAAAACCTTAAGCTCTCCGGGTTTGGTGAAGCCATAGTAACACCAAAGGGATGAACACAGCAATGCAGAGATATAGGGGATGCTCTCAAATTCTTCCGTGCATCTCTTCTTTACTATCCTCCAAAATACTTCCCTGCTCTCATTTTTTTTTTTCACTATAGTCAACACACTTGTACGTCGTTTAAATTAACTCGGAATTAACATTTCTATAGAATATTAGAGATTAAGAACAATTAATACTGTTAAGGTAAGGAATAACATTCAAAAAGTAGGAGAGAAAATTAGAAATGGAAAAACGTAACATGCAAAAAGTGATGAAAATAATAGGATATAATTTAAGTCCTTTGCACGTTTCAATCTCTAGAGAAAGTAAATTAAACTACTAAAGATAATAGTTGGAAATAAAATTTTAACGAATTAGGATAAGTTAAAATTAACTGATGTAATGTGTGTAGTGTATTCATACTGCTCCGTATTAAAATTCTATATACTAGTAATATATATCTACCACGGTCACAAATAATCACATTATATTTACTTAGTTCTCACGTTTATGAAGTTCTGGTTGAAGTGACTTCATTGGATGATTCTGTTGATCTATGATAAATTTATATTTAAATATATTTTATTAATAAAACATAGAAAACTTTATATGAAAAATAGCTAAAATGCTCATGTACATTAACTTCAATCAATACACCCAGAAAAGCAAGTCAAACCTTATTTTTTCTTATTATTACACAATTCCGTGTGAGAAATAAAAAACTACTACCTCCATCCCGGTGGATTTTGCCAAGTGCCAAGTACCTAGGAGAGAAATAAAAATAATAAAAACTGTGTAATTGAAATTTGTGCAGAGGAGAGAGAAATGTGTCGAACCACAAATTAGTTGCTTTAATCGGAAAGTTGCAAAGTTTTTTGGGACAACGAAAAAGGAAAATTTGGCAAAATCCAATAGGACTGAGGGAGTACGTGTTTGATGAAAATGTTGAGTGATAAATCTAATAAGCCGAAAACAGGGTCCCAATGAGGTTTTAGAATTTCACATTTGTTAACACACAACTTTGATACTAATACATTTAATCGCCCAGTAGGTATTAGTTAAAAACATGCTACGATCCATATGTGTTTTTTACTTTGACAAAAAATTACTATGTTTATAATATTTTTAATAAATTAAAAATATCATGATAAGTATCATAACCGAGCTTTGTGAAAAGTAAAACAAAATAGCAGCTTGATTTAATCAACACAAAGAAGTTTTATGCGACAGAGAATATATGTAGTAATTACAATATATATTTACGGGTTCCAAATTAAAGAAATAATTTTTAAAATGATTTTGGTGATCGAAAGTGCTTAATAATACGTACAAGTTGATAGTGTTTGAGAAAAAATTGTTTTTGAAAAAAGTGAAAGTTGATAGTATTTTGTAAACCAAGTGTATTTTGAGTAATAAAAAGAGTGAAAAAAGGTGAAAAATCACTTATATTTAATTTTTACAAACATACCCTTAATAATACTCTTATTACTTCCAAATATAATGCGGTTGCAATCTTTTTTTGTTCTTCTGGTTTTAGTCATTTGATATGCAGCCCAGTAATCACCGGCCGTACAGAATCACACAAAATCTTTATTGTTTGGCCATGTATAAATAAATCAAGGTGACAACTCCGGTACCCATTTAAAAGATAGGGTACCGTACCTACCATGCATTTGATTGGTCCAAATCATTAAATCCTTTTTAATTAAGATTTAAATAATTCAGCTGCATGATTCTGATTGGTCCACGTGGACAAAAGTACGGTACCTTATGTGTATTATAGAATCTACCATAAATTAAATGCATACGTATGTGTATTTATAATTTGCGTATTAGGTATGTATGGGTACAGGGTACGTAGAAAATTAAGAACTTACGCGGGGGAGAAGAAGATGAAAATGGAGGGGATAAATCCTGCAAATTGATCGAAATACAGATCAAGTAATTAATGCACTTCATTCTATAATTTATTACTATCTCCATCTCATAAACAAGTTCTCATTCACTATTCCAGTGGTCAACTTAAATCATTCTAGTCTTAATCTTTTACTATATATCAAAATTTTATCAAACTTAAATTTTCTTGATCAGAATTTGTATTGGTTTTAACGAAATTTCTGAATATTTAAATTTTATTTACTAAAAATAATCTGAATGTGAATAAGGATTGAGTTGTTTTTTCGTCAGTCAAACCTCATAAACAGAAATGGGAACTTGTCTATGGGACGAAGGGAGTACTAATAAGAAGTGATAATAACAGTACATACATACATACCTATAATTCCAACGTAGAAGCGCAAGTCTTGATCGATTACCATTATATATTGTCCAGGCCAGGCCGGAGTTTAACTCGATCGGAAAATGAAATCTCAAACTGGCCGGCCGGCCGGCAGGGAGATGAGCTAGCTAGCTAGTAAGACAAATATACGGATGGATTGGAGTATAATAATAGAAATATACGAAGTCAGATGAAGATACTAATTAAGGAAGCTACCAACATCATACGTGGGCTATATATAATTATATATATATAGACAAATCTTCATGTCAGGCCGGCCTGACGGGATGCTCCGTCCGGCCAAGGGCATTTCGGGCACTTCTCGGTGGAATTTTTTGATGAAATATTTTGAGCATGTTCTTCATGAAGTCTAGTTTATCCATACCAAATTTCAGCCAAAAATTCAATCGGGAAGGTCGTCAAATGATTTTTGCAAGTTAACTGGTCCGGAATATGTATTTTCCGGATCAGTTAACTTGCAAAAATCATTTGACAACCTTCCCGATTGAATTTTTTTGGCTGAAATTTGGTATGGATGAACTAGACTTGATGAGGAACCTACACAAAAAATTTGAGAAAAAAACACCACCGGAAAGGCCCCCAAATGGAGAAGGCCGGACGGGGCTCCGGTCAGGTATACCTGACCGGAAGAGTTCTCTCTATATATATATTTTTTTTTTTTGATGAAATGTAAGTATATTGAAGAGAACATCCAAGAAACAAGGGTGAAGAATGTACAAACAAAGGGAAAACAAAAATGAAGGTTATCCAACAAGGTTATCTTCTCTCTATATATATATAGCTACTACTAGGTATTTCACATTCGCCTCACGAGGAGGAAGCTAATTTAAGCTATACACACACACATTTATACGTAGTATGTACTATCGTATATAGCAATAGTACGTACGGGCGGTTATATATTGAAAGAGTAAGAGAACATTAAGAGAATATTTTGACACCCACACCGGGCATTATATTATATTGAGTGGTGGATAAGTTGGAACACTGACCTATTATCAAAATATGTAATGACCATGAAGGTTATAGTCTTGTGTGCTAAGCTGGTCGGACTTCTTGTGCGCACAGGTATAAGGCCTACTAGACTACCATCATTTGTGTAACTGAGTCACCGTGACTTATAGTCAACCAAATGTCTTGTCGTGTCATGGCGTGGTGGTCTTGAGATTGGGGATTCAACATTTTGGAACGAGAATGTTTTCTAGATGGTTTCATATTCTCTACTTTTAGTTGAGAGGTGTACAACTCAACTTTTTGTTTATCAAATACGAGTACTAAACTTTGTATTTAGTTGAAAATGATTATTTTAACATTTGTGTAATAATGTCAAGTACCTTGTAATATGATGTACACGTAAATGATTATCACTATGATACTCCCAAGGAGGAGGTCACGGGTGTGAATTCTATTCCAGTTCGAGGATGTTGATTTTAATATAGAACAAATGCGATAATAGGTTAAAAGCTTTAATTTGCCAAAACAATATTATTGTAATAATGAACATAACTAAATATGAAAATTAAAAGTTAATTTTCCAATTTAACTAATTGATTTTGTTGAAAATGATTATTTTAACATTTAATTTATTATAATTATTTTACAATATGTCCCATATTGAATGTTTTGTTTTAGTTTGATAGAATTATTAATAAAGTGGTTGAAACATAAAAGATTAGGTATAAGTCGTTTGAGTTCAAAAAAATATGAAATTCATTTTGGGGAACTCAAAATAGAAAGTAAGATAATCAAAAGAGGATAGAGAGAATATCTTTCCTTTAAATAATAGAAATAATTCCTAATATAGGACCAAAAAATAGTAGAAAAAATGTGACACTAGTAACTTTAGTGACTAATTGTATTGAAATGTTATATGACAGTGACTATAAAACTTACACATAGTAACTTGTAGTTACATTTTGTCCATAGATCTTTTATTAGTAATATTTTAGAAAAAACATCTAACTGATACTCCATCTATCACAAATTGAGTTGCAAAATTCACTTTTTTGGGTCAAACAAATTCATTTTATTCACTTAACTAGGATGTCAATTCTTAATTAAATTATAATTTAAATTTTGTAACTTTAAAGAGATTTTAATGTATTTTCTAAATATATAAATTTTAATTATTTAAATTGACTTAATTATCAATATAAAGTATTTAATTTTAACATTAAAATTGAAATAATTGTTTTGACTTTGCAAATTAATTTGAGACCGAGGTAGTAAAATACTAAAATATACTCCGTAATACGGAGTATATTTTAAGGAATTGTCCTTTAAATATTACTAAAAAAATGTCATAGACAAAAATGTGACTTAGTAATTATTAGTGATTATAATTATGTTCAATGTTTGCATCATAGTAATTTACATATAGTTATTATGATGTAAAATTTGAACATAAATATAATCATTAATAATTACTAAATCATTTGTCTTTCCATCACATTTTAAAGATTAAAATTTTCATATTTTAAATACTCGTATAATTTTGTGGGGGGCGTGGGTGTTTCATCCAAAACAAAATAGTGAAATACTCGGGTGCACATACGTTTGCATCTGTATGTACTCCGTATAATACTGCCTAATGAATACTTCGTACAACAATAATTGTGTTCGACTGGTATGTTCACTTGATTCAGGTATTGCAGTCCAGGTAACGCACCTTCCACAAGGGCCCTATGAACGGACAAGTTTCTGACATCTACCTCCCTCTCGGCCCACAAGTTTTCCTTCAATAAATCTAATTCCCCACTAGTTTATACGTACTCATCCAGTCAATCCAGTTTTTCTCTGCAACCCAGCACCGTCAATATATTCACTCAACACATAGTTTTTATTTTAATTATATGCATAAATCCTTACATTTTTTATTACACGTCATTTACGTGATAATTTTATTTTTACCAATAATTATTATTTAAAAAGTCAAAATCCCGATGTAACAATAAATAAATTTGGAGTTTATATTTTTTGTTACTCTAGATCTTTTTTTCAAAAGTAACTGAGATATGTAGTAAAAAATATTTTAACAATGAAATCATAACTTTAGCACTTGAATTTACATAAGAAAAAATTTGAACATAAAAATCATTAGCTGATAAAATTATTTATCTATTTTTTTAAATTTATATGTATATGATATTGATGTCATATTAAAGAGCATAAAAAATCATGAATTTTGATATACTATTTATAAAAGTTAGGAAAAAAATAACAAAGTTATAATAGTTAAAACAAAATTGGGAATTTTATTTCAAATGGGCCCCTACCTCAATTCTTCTTCCGCCTTGCCCACGTGATAGTTAATTCGCTTCTCTCCTGGGGTGAATGAAGGTACTAGCTTCCCAGTTCCCACTTACTCGGTTCTCCCAATTCACTATCCCTCCTCCAAATACTAAAAAAGGCTTGGGTTGCAGCATATTTGGGGTGAATACATCAAATTTGGGTTTTCACCCCCACCCATTGCGGACAGCCTTAGACTGGTATGTTCATTGTTCACATGATTCACGTTAGGAGCATCTCCAATGGTAAAATGTGCACGGTGCACACGTGGCATGAGAAATAGTCACACAAATATTAGTAAATAAATTCTTTCTCTAGCTCCTTATTTGAATGATTTTGTACAATTTTAGTAAAATTTTTTCACAATGTCAAGGAGACCGTCTAGATGTTGACATTGTTGTTGACATTGCAGGGAAAAACTTACCAAAATTGTATAAAATTATTCAAATAAGGAGAGAGATAATTTATATGCTAATATTTATGTGGATATCACTCATGCCACATGTGCACCGTGCACATTATAACATTGGAGATGCTCTAATAAAATTTATTTATAAATTTTTTATTGATAAATAAAATTTATAATTCAGAAATAACATTAAATTTTTACTTCATTGCAATAAACTCAAATTTCATAAAGTTATATATATATATCAAAAAATTAAAAATAATTTACGCTAGTCAGAGATTACTACACGCATTCCACTAACATTGAGACATGATGATGAAATGGTGCAACTATTAGGAAAAGTAAATTTATGTGACTCGTATTAAATTGATAGAGTAAGCCAATTAAAAAACGTCTTAGCAGGCATACGTGATGACATAATTAAAACGTGAACGTTTTAATACGAGGTGAAAGGGAAAGATAAAATCATAAATAATATGGGTGATAAAGAAAGATAGAACCATCTTAGCGGGCCGGAAGGAGTATTAATTAGTGGAAATTTCCGGATTGAACCACTTTTCTATCCGACCTTTCTTTTATGTCTACACTAAAAATATTTTTCATATCTAAACTTTTAACTTTTCAATTTTATTTTTACAATTTCAAAAGTAGCCTCGACTCAAATTTTATCATGCGCTCATCTCTGTAATCTACGAGCTTCGCATCTGCTCTCCCCTCTCTTCGATTCTTCTCCGGCACACCTTCCTTGCATCTCGTTGTTCTTCATCTATGGATAATCGCAGACGTAAATCAGCCTCGACAATTAAGGATTCGTGTTCTGATTTGGCTCCCCAATCAGCCTTTTCGATTCAATTCGCAGAAGTTGGTATGTCGGTAATCTTCTCCGGCTCAATCGAAGCCTCCCAGTCAGGTTTTTTTTTATCAAAGCAGATCCTCTGATTCTGTCTTTTAGTACAACAGATGTGACTGATCCAGTAGCTCAAGTTGTTGAGACTACGCCATTACTTCAATTGATCTCAATTCTCAACTAGCGGCAAAATCAATTCCGAATCAGCCCTACTGGTTCAATCTGCAGAAATTTCACAGACTTGACAAATACAACTCTTCAAGGTTATTCCCAGCTCAATCGGATCCTCTTAGTCATGCTTAAGTTGAACCACATACTCCAAATTTATCTTCTCTGAGAACAGCTGCACCGATCCAGCTTCGTAAGTTTCAATTGTTGAAGTTATGCCTTGGTTCAATTGACATCTCCTAGTCAGCAACGTGGTGGAAAGGTGCCAGAGTTAGTTATTGAAGAAACTCTGCATTCAAGAGGATCGAGAAGCTGTTGTGACGGTGGCATCCTATTTCATTTTGATGAACCTCAGAGGTATGTCAATTCATACTTGAGATGCTATTATTCTATCCTTTTTCAATCACTCAATATCATTGCAGCCAATTTTTATTATTTTTGAAATGATAAAAGAGACTTTTCTAGTCAAGGAATGTGATCTATGTCACCGGTTCAACTAATCTCGTCCAGGAATGAAAAGATAAATGATTTGATTATTTATCCCTCTTTGCTATTGGAAATGTATGTTGTTAAGGGCAGACTAGTCAATTCAGTTGACCACTAATTGTTTTTGTTGGAACTATGAATAGACAATTGAAACTCCTTTCTTAAGGAAATATTGCCCTTAGTACAATCTGTAAGTGAGTGAATGCTAACTTCACAGGTGAATACTAGCTAATTGTTTTTGTTGGAACCATGAATAAACAATTGAAACTCCTTTCTTAAGGAACTTTTGCAAGCATATTTTGTTTAGCTGCATTCTATTGTTTAAATATGTAATCATAATTTTTTTTGATGGAGGTTTTATTTGTATATGTATTCATTGTGTACTCTCTCTGTGGGGAGGAAACCCCTAGCATGAAACATAATTGACTTTGATGTTGTGTTTGAATCTCAATGTGTTATACTTTATTATATATACACATGAACAAACATGTAGTATTCATATGAGTGTGACTTACTATTGTAATACAATCCTTTTCCTGTTTGTGTGCAGTCTATTAGGGATGACATAGAAGATCTATAATATACTCTTAAATGAGATTATTAAAAGTGCTTCAGGAAAAGATGAGTATATTACACTTCAGTAAATGGTGAAGAAAAGCTTGTAAGATTGGGAGAGGAAACAATTAGAGGAAATTTGATAAATAGAGATAATGACACGCATGATAACGTTGAAAAGGGAAAAGTGAAGTGCAGCATAGTGAGAGGGGAAACAGTTGGAGGAAAGTTGATGAATGAACCGTCATGGTCACCCAAAGACCTTATGGAATCACATCAACTCTGCCTAATGCATGAGCAGCATCAACAAATACCTGTTCCACGCCTTCTCTGCAGATTCTAATTAGGCTGTTTACTGGAATGATGACAGCTGGCATTGAAGTAATGTGATCAATTATAGCCAACCTGATTTTCCAACCATTGACTTTGCCCTTAGCCAAGGCATCACAAAACTTAGCAATTATTTCTTCATTGGAACTAACAGGCCGGAAATGGAAGATGAACTACTATAACAGAACCTCCGGCACGAGTCACATATGCCTCAATTGATTTCTTAACGGCTTGAAACGCACAGTAAAGCATCACAACGGCGTCTCCCTTATGGAAGCGGCCCTCAGCAAAGGCCCATCCGACGTGTTGGAGGACGATTGCAGCTCCGGTTGTGGCATTATCTACAAGAGACACCTCGTCAACGTAGTTATGGAGGTTTTAGAGATGCTATAGAGAAGGTAGACAGTGAGAGTAGAGGGGGTAATAGTGTCGGTTTATTGGAGACTGCCATCAGTTGAGGTTGGAATTTCCCTAAGCCTAGGTGGTGGCCACCAGAGGGCTTTGATGATTAGTTTGAAGGCTTTAAGAAATTGTTAATCAATAGGTTGCTAATACTCAAAGTAGTACTATGTTTGGACGGTTCTCCCTGTTTTGACAAGTTTGCATATATCAGAGAATATTGCAAGTAGAGGGGTGTTGTTTCTGTTAATTTTAGACCATAGTAGATGGATCTTTGAAACCTATGATGCACGGGTTATTTGTATAAGTAGGATTTGTTTGTGTTTCTAATTTCATCCTGTTTTGGCATATTAGTACTCAATGTTTTTGTTTCTTATTGTTTCTTTTATGTTTCATATTTTTGTTTCGTTTTGTTTCTTTTTGTTGTGTGATGTTGCTTTTTGTTGCATGTTGTTTCTAATTGTTGATCATTTTCATTTCTTGTTTTTATTTTTATTGTGTAATCTTTATTTTTATTGAAAAATGCAAAACATATGTGCATGCGTGTATGCCTGTGTGTACAAACACACAAACCAAAATGATAAACTTAAATTTATGAAAAAAAAGAAATCAATAACAAGAAACATAATTAAACAATTAAAAACAAAATTTGCAAATTTATCAACAAAAAGAAACACAATGAGATAACAAGCAACAAAAAATAGCAACAATCCGCTCTTGTGATTTTTTGTAACTTTATAAATAACAATTAATTTTTGTAACTAAAATAATAACAAATTGCAAAATTCATATGTAGTATTATTTATTTGTTTAAAAATTCCTTCATTTTTACAAATTTTCTATGTTATACTTATTTTAATTTTTCACATTTTTTGAATACTTATGTTTTATATTTTCCCTTTTAACCTTTTTTTTTATCTTTTTTCTTTACTCGCTTTTAAGTTTATTTGAACTTTTTTATTTTTATAAATTTTAAGCTCCACTTTTAAATATAAATTTTAATATCCTTAGTTTCAAATTTTCTTGTACTTATACAAACTTTGATTTCATTTTCTGAATGTTTTCAATTTTCTATATTTATTTGAATTGTTTTAATGTTTTCAAATTGTATATAAATTTATTTAATTGTTCAATGTTTTCAAATTTTTATATTTATTTGATTTTTGGATGATTTTACTTGTATGTATACTGATTTTTAAAAAATAATTGGTCTTTTGTAAAGATTTATAATTACTTTTCATATTTTTAAGTAGTTTCACAACATTTTTATTTTATTTTACAATTCCGTTTTTATATGTTAGTTTTTTTTTCAATTTATAAAATTTAACCTATTTGTACTTTTTTATTTTTCCTATTAGTTTTCATATTTTAAAATTGAATAATTATTTATTCTTGTACACTTTTATAGTTTTTGTACACATTTACTGTATTTTATTAACTTTTTTACCTTTTAAGTTTTCATTTTTGTTCTCTTGTTTTTTTTTAAGTTTTTTGAAATTCGCAAGTGTAATTATAGAATACAGAAAAAGTGTAATTATTATAGAATACGGAGCATAAAGTTGAGTAGTTGATAACGTCTCTATTCATTTCGTAACTAAACACGTAGGTTTAGGCGGCTTAGGAGTCAAGGTCTATATTTGAAAAAAAAAATCGTAGTCTGCTTTTGAAAGAAAAAATGGGAAGCGACAAAAGTGATATAATTTTTCCATTTTGGTCTATTTGTGAAAAATTCCCTATTAATTATGCTCGGTAAAACATATCTAATTCTCGTAAGTATAAGAGGGAAAGTAGCCCTACCGAACATATGATCGTTAAATCGTGATATCTAATTCTCATAGTGAGACTAAAGGTAAAGGAAGTATCTTTAACATCATAGATGATGAACATCATCTACGCCTAAAATGATACCTTTAGGCCTTGTTTGGTTGAAGGGAGGGGAGGGAAGGGGAGAGTCAATGAGGGAAGTAGGGGTGGACTCGGGCCGGGTTCGGGCCTCGGGCCAGAAAAGTTGGGCCCGAGCCCGAACCGCCAGTGGGCGGTTCCGGGCCAAACCGGGCCGGGCCTAACCGGTTCTAATTTTTTTTTTTTGGCTCTTCTATTTAACCCTCAACCCCTCCCCCTCAACCCCAAACCACCCCAAACCACCTCAAATGGCCCAAAATACCTAATCCAACCCAAAACTTAAATAAAATTCAAAAAAAAAAAAAAAAAAACCGGCCCGAACCGGCCGGGCCGGTTCACCAAAAACTGGGCCCGAGCCCGAACCGCCCAGCAGCCGGGCCGGGCCAAACCGAACCAGTGGACCCACCGGGCCCCGGGCCGGGCCGGGCCAAACAGTAACCGGGCCGCCCGGCCCGAGTCCACCCCTAGAGGGAAGGGAAGGGGAATGAAGGATTTTGATAAAAATTTGTATTTGGTTGTAGGAAATAGGAGGAAATGTTTAAAAAAAATATTTTCTCAATTTACCTTTATTTGATAGCTTACTTAAAAAATAGATACATCTCTAACTATTGTGAATATTACTCATATGGTCATGACTCATAATATAATTTTATGGGAAAAGGGTCAGATAGGTCATTGAACTTACATAAAAAGATCAAATAAACCCTTATATAGGAGGGTCAGGCTTTGTCCGGCCGTCACCATTTTGGGCGGTTACCGATGGAATTTTTTGACGGATTTTTTTGAGATTCTTATTCATTAAGTCTAGTTTACTCATACAAAATTTCAGCTAAAACTTCAATTGAGAAAACATTCAAATGAATTCTTGAATGCCTTTTTATGTAAATTCGAGGGCTTATTTGACCATTTTTCCTAATTTGATTGATTTTTTTACTTTTTTAATTTTTAATTTTTAAATTTTTTGAGTTTTTTTATTTTTTGTTTTTTTTAAATTTTATAATTTTTTAAGTTTTTGATTTTCTAATATTTTTTAATTTTCAAAAATTTTTAAGACTGAAAATAAGAAATTGGAGAACAAAAACAGAAAAGAAATTTGAAAAATACCTCTAATAGTAAATCTATTCATTCGGATTTCGGAGCATTTCGTATTTATTATCACCTTTACAAAGTATGTTACTCCCGTATCAAATTAATTGACCCGTTTGCTTTTCACGCAATTTAAGACAATTACTGTAGACTTTATTAAAAGTAAGAGGTTTTTGGTACTGTAGCGACACTGTAGCGGTACTGTAGCTACTTTTTGAGTGAGATTCTTTCCAAAAAGGGAAAGGGGTCAATTAAATTGATACACCAAAAAAGGAAAGTAGGTCAAGTAATTTGATACGGAGGGAGTATATACTATAGAGTAGAGCAATAATGAAAATTCACGGACAGTGCACAAATGGCTGGATCGTGGCTAAGTTTGCATTACATCATTGTATGTATAAACCCGAGTTAGAATACAATTCATCATGGCTCCGCGTTTTTAAATTAAGTTTTAGTTCACGCTTTAGTTGTATAACTCCAGAAAGCGGGGATTTCCTCCTCATCTAGCAGACTTCGTGCAAGCAGCAGCCCAGGTTTGTCCATCCCGGTCCAGCACTGGTCAGAGTTTTTCATGGGTTTTACTCAAGTATCAGACCAGCACAAATCCAGCCTGGAGTCATTAACGGGGCAAGTTCTGATTATTTACATAGGAGGAAACTGAATCGACCTTGACTTCAAACTTATATTATTCGAGCATTTCGTATTTATTATTACCAGCTAATGAACCTAACAGTACAATATAGTTCCTCTTTCTCCAGCTTGTAAGACGGAGTATTATTTTTCCTCTTTAAAGTTCACATATATAATTTCCACATTAGCTCACTTAGATATAAAGCACATCAACACAACCCACAGAAAAGATGGAATGAGGCCCAATCTCCAATGACGGCTGATCTTAGAGGCGAGACTTTGCCATGTCCTTTTTCAAACTCTGCAACATACATCATTTATCATCAAAAAGAGAACATAAGCTGTCAAAATAATGGGAAATATACAACTGTACAACATTGGTTAAATTTCTATTGGATAATATTGCTATAACAAACAGACTCACACAGCGTAGAGCCAAAAACAGACTCACACAGCGTAGAGCCAAACATAGACAAAGAACGTTCTTTGTCTATGACCCTTGGGAACTCAAATGTGAAGAAGACTAGTGGATTTCAAAACTCAAACCGTGTTTTCAGAAGTCTGGGGAAATTTCATCCTGTTGTGCTAGTTTGATATTTTCAATCGTGTTGGACAGTATCACGTTTTTGCGCAGGCAAATAAACCTTGTTCTCAACGCACAAAAATATGTGAGGCCCTTGAAAGTTGGTTGGAATTTTTATAAGAAATAATGGAAAATATATGACAAAAAAATGGATGACAATGTGACTTTTTATACGGATTAATCAGTGGTATTTTCACATTGATGATCATGGTGATATTCAATTTAATTTTACAGTAACCACAATACTTGTTTAAGCGACTATAATGACTGAGCAGTAGCTCAGTCATATTTATATCCATGTTCAATTTCACTAATATAAAGAACAACTCCCACTTTATAATGTGTAAGAAAGGCAGGGTTCGAAACTTTTTGGACTACATTAATGGGGAAATTGTCATTATCGGCTAGTATCATCACTTTTGTGGCATCACTTTTCTCTTTTATCACAAAGGCATAATATGTTGAAGCTGAATCACAAATAGTTAATAGTTTGCTATGCAACATGCAAAAAAAACTTGATACTGACCAGAGGGGCATCCACAATGGCTCGGTCAGCCAGGTAAGAGCATGGTTCAAAGAAACCACCATATATCTTTGACCACTCATTCAACTTGGAGTAAATGTACTTGGACCCGAGAGTGTCTGCCCAAAACAAGATCCCTCCCCTGGGTTGATAACAAAATGTTGTGAAAAAACAAACTCTGCATGATCTAATAAGCAACAGATTATTGGAAAAATTGACAGACCTATAAGGTGGGAAACCCATGCCCATGACGGCAGCAATGTCCAAATCAGCAGCTTTGGTCGCAATGCCTTCAGAAAGTACTCTACAGGCTTCGTTCACCACAGGCAAAAATGTCATCTCCACTATATCCTTATCCGAAAGTTTTGTCAACTGAATCAATGTCACATCACACTTAAGTTAAGGGAACATATATATAATGTTACTAACATATACTACCTTTGTCCCAATATGTTGGTGAATAAATTGGTGAAAGTGTCAAAGTGTCAAACACATTAAGACGGAGGGAATATCGTACAGTATGGTACTATGGTTGGGCGGGATTGAGATGAAAATACCTTCGGGTCAATGGTAACACCAGCCATCTCTCTTGCCTTCTCAATATATTTCTTTATTTCAGGATCTGGGTTGGCTTTGCGCCTTTCATCATAAACATAAAATCCTCTACGAGTGGCTTCACCTAAAACATTCACAAGACAAATATGATCAACAGCTTGAAATGTTAAATTGTTCTGGATTAGGAACCAACAATGGTACCTCCCCTTTTGTCTTCTTGCATGAGTGGTATCAACATTGATTTATATGTCCTTTCCGGAAAATTCATCACATATTGACCTCCAGTTGCAACTGCAACGCCAAAGCCAACGAGGTCGCACAATCTGCAGAGGTATATAGCAAAATCATTCAGCCCATATTTTAACAAGTATTAAGACTTGAATTTTATCCTAAAAGTCAACTTGATACGAAATGTAGTCAAAGGCCTTATGCAAGGTTTTGTATCTGTATTTGGCCGGTGTGATAAGGCTTAACATGTACTTGGAAATGAGAGCCTCATCAAAGCAGGCCAATTATAACTTTCGTGTGCTTGTTGAAGCTTGCCAAGAACAAATTGCTCCTTTGAACTTGATTGATTGCATTACCATATCAGGGAATTATAGCTTCTTTAGGGTTTTATACTAAAACGTCAACATGATAGAAGAGGTAGGTCAAAGTCTTATATGAGTTTATACTTAAGTAATTGGCCAGTATGGATGACTTCACGAAAAGAAAAAGCAGACTCATTCCTACAAGGAGGTTATAGTGAAGTTAAATATGTGGAGAGGCAAAGCATAACCTAAAAGGGCCCATGGGCATTCCAAATTTTGTAATTGCTTTGTCTATTTTGTAGACATCTGTACCCCGCTCAGCGAGCAAGAGAGCAGCTTGAGTGTACGGAAAGAACATTCTGTTGACAGCAAATCCAGTGCAATTACCCACAACCACGGGGGTTTTCTTTATCTTTTTCCCAACATCTAGCAAGTCAACAATAGCTTGAGGAGATGTGTTTTGAGTGCGAACAATTTCCAGAAGCGGCATTACATGGGCCGGGCTGCAATGAAAACAGAGAAGCTATTGAACTAATAAAGAAACAAAGTAAAAAAAAATGCCTCCCCAATAGATGTTACCTGAAAAAGTGGGCACCAATGATACGATTGTGTGATTTAGTTTTCTCTCCAATTAAGTTTAAGTCAATGGTGGATGTGTTACTCGCGAGTAAGCAATGTGGAGGACAATACTTTTCAAGATCAGCAAATATATTCTGCTTCAAATTTATGTCCTCAATAACAGCCTGTTTAGAAGCAAATGGAACAGAAGATATGAAACAGAAAAATAAATATAAAAAATATGAGCTAAACTGAGAATGTATGCACCACCTCAATGACCATGTCCACATCTCTAAAGCTTTCATAGTCAAGAACGCCTTTCAGTAGGGAGAGTGTTTTTTCAAACTTCTCTTGACTCATTTTCCCCTTCTTCACTCGACTTTGAAGATTGGCTGAGTGAGCAATCAACAAAGATTAGATCATATGACAACAATTAAACATCGGAAAACTGTCAAATAAGTCCTTGTACTATACCAAAAAAGTCAATTAAGTCCTTGTACTATAAAATCATCCAATTAGGTCCTCAAAGTGTTAAAAAACAATCACAATAGCCTTTTCACCGGTAATTTGCCGGTTAGCCGGTAATCTGCGTGTGTCCCGTTGGTTTTTCTTTACTGTTCTTATTTTTTCTTTATCAGTTTCTTTTTGCCCTTTTTTCGTTTCTGTTACTTTCTTCTCTCCCCCACCACTTCTTCTTCCTCAATGGGTTTCTTCCTCACTGGGTTTCTTGCTTTTGCATCCCGATCTCTACTCTTTATTTTCTTCTTGTTCATTTTGGTTTCTACAATAAAATATGAATTCCATAGTCCACTGCTTGTTAAATTGTTGTCTCTGGCCGACCAGCTCCTACAAATCCCCCAACCTCCGTAAGTTGCCGGCCGTCACCCCAAACTTCACCAACACTCCAATAGTCGGCGGCGGTCACCCGTCACGGACATCTTCCCAAATTGCCGTCTTGTGCCGTTCATCCCCACCACTTCGCCGACTGTCGCCCACATCTTCAACAATAGCTGGCCAAAATCTGCCTCCCGTCTCCCACCATAGTCCAATCACTGCCACACGCAGCCCGTCTCCCATATCTATCCTAGAAGACGCCTGCTGTCCACCGGCTCTAAATTCCCGGATTAACCTCCAACGCGGCTGACCATCGAAACAAACAAGACCAGGAGGAAGAATGGAAGAAAAATAGAAAGAAAATATAGAATGTTTAGGCGTAGCAGAGAACAAGGAGATAAAGAAATTGAACGGAATAACCGAAGAAGAAAGGAAAGAAAATAATACGGAGTAAATTAATGTCCAAGTCAACATATACCGGTGATACCCGTTTTCAACTGGCTAAAAGTATAAATTGAACATTTTTTATAGTTGAAGGACCTAATTGGATGATATTATAGTACAAGGACTTAATTGACTTTTTTGATATAGTACAAGGACTTATTTAAACCATAAAGTCAAATCAAGACTCCACCCTTACCTTTTACTCTACCAATTCCAGCTTGTAGAAATTTCTCATTAACTTCCTTAAGGACAACTGGATAATTGCAGAGAATAAAAGCAGTTGCAATTCCAGAGCCCATTAAACCCCCTCCCAGAATTCCAACCTTCTTAATTCTTCTTGGTGCCAATCCTAAATCAGTTACACCTGGAACCTGAATGCAGTGAATGGGGGACCTTAATTGACCATGCATTCATTTGGATAGTTTGAACCATAAACGGCTCCAATTTACCTTTACTGGATGGTGTTTTGGAAGTAAAGTAAAGCCTCTGGTCAAAGTGATTCTCTTTGTGATTATTTATGAGTACATTCATACCGACGGTCCCAAAATGTACTCCGTATAAAATAATTTTGGTTTGGCACATACTTTAATAAAATAAAACAGATAGTTATATTACAGTTCTAAACCCGCTACAAAGAAGAAAAAGTAATATGGGTCCACAAAAAGTAAGAGGTATAGATTTGAGGATAAAGTGGGAAAATTAGAAAAGTTGCCATAATTTTGAGACAGACAAGAATGAAAATTGTTATAACTAAGATAATAAGGGGATAATTTATCTTACCTTTGTGGTTCCGCGGAGGGCAAAGAATATGTGTACCAAGGCCTTGCACGTGTCAGAATATAGAAGGTCTTGAAATGCTTCTGCCTCCTGCAAATACCAAGTGCTTGTTAGATCATTAGGCACTATAGGATTTAGACCAGAGCAAGGGAAGGAAATACAAACCTTCCAAAGGCCAGCACGCGGACCACGAACTATACCTTCTTCAACAACATCAATGCAAACTAATGGATGGTTAAGGTTTGGAGCTTGCTTACGGGTCTGAGCTCGAGCAAACTTTAGTATTTCCTTGGCATCCCCAAGTGGTTCAATTTTGTCTGTCCTATAGAGACTAGAAACCCAAGGTCTGCGCCGCTCCAAGATATCAAGGGCCCATCGACGTGCAGTTTCCAGTAATTCATTTGGGGAAACAATGGCGTCCACAAGGCCCAAATTCAGGGCTTCCTGTCCCTTAACGGGCTTTGATGTCTAAGAAACACACAAGAGAAAGACATGAATGAGAGAACGATATGTGAAGTTGAAACAAAATACTGTATTCCAGAATATTTTGAACACCGTTTAAAAATGCTAGTACTTACAAGCATCATCTCTAGGCCCTTAGCAAGACCCACAAGGCGCGGAAGTCGCTGTGTCCCTAACAATACACAAAATAATTAAATTGCATACATTATTTGAGCTTGACATTGTAGTTATAATTTACTAAAAATGAAGCTATCTTTGGAATCAAATTGTGAGATAAATATGTGATACTACTCTAACAAAATACCCAAGTATTTCTGTTTCTAAAGTTCATGTTATATAGAGCACCAAAAAAATTTCATTATAAAGAAACTTGACTTCTAACAATTTAAACCATCACACAAATCACATTGAACAACTCAAGACCAGGAAAAGATATTTTCCCAGAGAGAGAGTTTATTGATTCTAAAATCCGACTCTCATGGCAGTCAAGACTCAAGAGATCTGTATTTCGAACAACACTTGCAATAAAGGCACAACCCTAAACAGTTGAGTCGTTAATTAGGACTGATTACTCAGAGTAATTGGTAATCACTCAGCCCTGTTAGAAAACTTTTTAAATATATGCCACAAAACTCTATATATATTTGCCTCGCAAGTCTTATATACTTCCTCCGTTCTTTTTTAGTTGCAACGCTTTCATTTTCACGCTTGTCAATGCACAACTTTGACTATCAATATATTTAATTTTCTAGTTGTAAAAAAAATTAAAAGAATCACACCATTTAGAGAAGATCCCACCATATATAAATCAAAAGTAAAAATCGACGATAACTAACACAGTTCATACGACATTTAGAGAAGATCCCACCATCTGATCAATCATGACTTCTTGTATCTAAAATTAATCATCATTTGGTTCAATATAAGCATTGTCTTCATCTTCTTCCATGCCCACAATCACACCTTGAGTGAGAATTTGTGGTTACCAACTTCTAAAACCTTGAAAACAAATTATTTAATTCAAATCCCTAAGTTTTTTCAATCTCATAATGACCTAAATTTTGTTTTCAATCTTTCACATTTAACTATGGTTGAGTTACTCACCAATTAATCAGGCTCATCAAATGACTAAAATCACCAATTAACTCTATTTTTTTAATCGAGCTGAATAGGTAGACAAGTCAACATGATCTATGGCACATAGCAGTACTCAGCGATTAAATAACATAGGCACCATATAAAACTTGGTTCAAATGGGTGAACAAGTAAATGCACTACATCACAATTTTTTTCGTATAAGCATCTACCAGCTACAGCAAGCATATTGAAATGCTTGAATTGCCTAACATACCTCCAAACCCAGGGATTATACCAAGCTGAAGTTCCGGTAAGCCTAATTGTGCATTTGGAGTAGAAATACGTGCATGGCAACCCTAAAAAAAATCTAAAATGTTAGCAAAAATAAGAACGCATAAATCCAGCAAGTACACTGAAAGTGACTTTTACCATTGCAACTTCGAGTCCTCCACCTAAAGCAAGACCATCAATGGCTGCTACTGATGGTTTACTGGAAGCTAGCATGTAGATGAGAACGAATGAATCAAGAAGTAATTATAGTAGTCAAAATATACAGTCTCAAGTTGAAGTACAACAAGCTCATGGAATTACCTTCTACTATGTCAGTGAGAATCTCAACTGACACGAAACCAGGTTTTGGTGGTTCAACTGTAATTTAAACAGAAAACATTAGAGAGAAAATAGATAACTTGGTTAAATATAACTTAGCTATCCATACCCTTTCCTCCTTGTAATCCACTAAAGGCAGTGATATCAAAACCACCAGAAAACTTTCCATTTGCACCTGTTATGTATTTTACATAAACAAATGTTCAATAATCACCCACATTCACTGAATACCAAAAAGATAATGTCAAGAAGCTTGAAATAACGTCAAGGAACTTGCCTGTCACAACAACTGCCTTCACATCATCCCTTCTTAAGGCTTGTTCATAACTCTCCTTCAAGCTATGAAGTACTGGAAATATACACACAAAAAATACTTTACAATGTGGATTAAAGACAACATACAATATCGTAGTAGACTACTCCTTCATGAAATGACATCCAGAGGAATCATATAACAGCAACTTGGTAAATGAGCTTTGCCATATGTAAATTGATGACACCAGAAGAAGTATTAATCACACTTGTAGCCTATGTTCATCTGTCCCAATTAAAGTTCACTACCTTTGAAATAAAGCTCATTTGTTACAAATGAGATGTCATTGCAAAGAAGTAGAAACTCATCACAGATTAAAAAAATGTCCAGGACTCATAAAGCTAAGTGCATAGGAGATCAAAGAATACCAAAAGGCGTATAATGTCTACTTCAGTTTAAGAGAGCGAAATCTACTTGAGGATAATGAGATACAGCAATTCTCTCTAACAAATCAAAATTCTTTTCAGAACCAACAGTTTCAACCCAAGAGAAGTGGAGTGTATGTGAAAGGTTTCTGATTCAATCCCACATGACCTAGTTGTGCCTATTGATTTAATAGATGCTAACCCTCGATTAAAATTAATCCAACAAGAATCAATTTTTGGTTTAAGCTAAGAGAGTGCTGAGTAAAGTATTTTATTTTTACATATGTCAAAAAGCTCTCTTTTATACTCAGTAACAAATAAGAACAGCATGACAACCAACTGCACCAAGATTAAGCTAAAATATGGCACACGAACAAATGATATTCATTCCTCCGGTCCCATACCCCCAGCTCGAAATTGTTTCAAGATCAAGAGCTTGTAATTTAGAGTGTAATGAAATTGAATTTCCAAAATATTGAAAATTGGGAACAAACACCGTAGTAAGTTTTGTGAATACCATCAATGGAGAGTGAATTGACAGGAGGGTTGATAATGGTGATGACTGCCACTCCATCAGCTCCGACCTCTATAGTTGTTCTTCCCTTTGTACTCATTTTCTCTTATTTATCAATATAAAACTGGATGTTCTAATTTCTCCTTTCCTTCTTCCAAGAATGGTCGAAATACTTTCAGAAGAATAAATAGAGATGGGTCAGGCCTCTGGAAGTTTAATATTGCGGGTCCTGCAATGCATTTGTCGTTGCACAAGGTGCCATGAGGAAGTATGGGATCAAAAAGTAGTTTTAATTATCTTAGATTATCCGCTGCGGCTCAACATAAATTTGATATTCTAACCATGTTTTTAATTGACTCCGAAGTCAATAGTTGTTGGTGTACACCCTGGCTTACACCCTGGATACACCCATTTATTTGCCCTTCTCACAGACAAAAAACACACAAATACAGACACTTTCAGTGTCGGTGTGAGTAAAATTAGTCTCTAGATCTGTCAGGCTGGTTGCACGGAAATCAATGTCGGTGTACACAGACATTAGTTGTCTGTGTACACAGACATTAGTTGTCTATGTAGACAAAAAAGTGTCGGTGTTAAAAAATTAGTTGGAAAACAAGTGTCGGTGTACACAGACGTTAGTTGTCTGTATAGACAAAAAAATGTCGGTGTGAAAAAATTAGTTGGAAAACAAGTGTCGGTGTACACAGACGTTAGTTCTCTGTGTCGACAAAAAAAGTGTCGGTGTGAAAAAATTAGTTGCAAAACAAGTGTCAGTGTACATAGACGTTAGTTGTCTTGTATAAAAAAGTGTCTGTATATATACAATTTTTGTTCATGTACATAGACACTATAGCAAACCAGTGTCGGTGTGGACAAAACGTAAAAAATGAGAAGGAAAGAAAAAGAATAAGATGATGATGAAGATAATGAAGATGATTAGGGTGAATAAAACCTAAAAAAAGAAGGAAAGAAGAAGAATAAGAAGATGAAGGAGAAAGGAAGAAAGAAAGAGGAAAGAACAAGATGTTGAAGAAGAAGAAAAGGAAAGAAGAAAGAGAGGAGGGAAGGGGATCCGTATGATTCAAATGGGAGAGGAGTGGAGAGAAGTGAGTGGAGAGAAAAAAGTTGGGAGGGGAGAAATAAGAAATGGGGGGGATTATATAGGGTGTACACCAAGGTGTAACCCAAGGTGTACCAAAAGAATTTTTCTTCCGAAGTTTATTGATACGTAGTATAAGGATTTCCGTAAGTTAAAGTGAAAATACTTCTCTCTGTAGGGTTATCGGCCGATAACCCTACGACTAGGACTGTGCGCCTTCGTTTTTTCGGAGTGCGAGTGTTATTGGTTAGGAAGTCGGTGAGGGGGCGGCGTAGACGGTTGGTTAGGAGAACGGTGGTCTCGGATTGGGAGCAGGGCGGTGAAGTTGGTTATTTAACCAGGTTATTCGGACGAAAGCAAGCTGTGTGGCTGGTTCATTGGAGTCATAGTTCCGGCGAAGCCTTCCATATCTCCATGGAGAACGTTGTTGATCGATATAAGCGGATGGCGATTGGAGACGAAGAGGAAGAGATAAATCTTGACGATGGAGAGGCTGAAGACGTTCCAGTGGAGGAAGCGGCGGTGGGCTTCCCGGTGCTCGGGCAAGTGCTGACTGACCGCAAGGTCAGGTTCGCGGAGCTTAAAGAAAAGATGCTTACTCTCTGGAGGCCGAGGAAATGTATGTCGGTTAAGGAAATCGGGGAAAAGAGGTACTTGTTTTCTTTTAGTCATCGTTTTGATATGGAACGTGTTCTGGATGGGGGCCCTTGGCAGTATGAACGTAGTTTGGTTTTGCTTAAAAAGATTATGCCTGATGATATACCACACAAAATCATTTTGAATGAGGCTGAATTTTGGGTCCAGATTCACAATGTTCCTTACAGTCTGGTAAATCTAGGCACTGCTAGACGTGTTGGGAGTTTTTTAGGAGAGTTTGTCAAATATGATGATTATCATAAAAAAGAAAAATTAGAGCCATCCATGCGAGTTATGGTTCTTATGACGATGGATAAATCTCTAAACAAGGGGACAAATTTGAAAAAAGATGGCAAAAGTTTTTGGGTGGACTTTAAATTTGAAAGACTGCCCACCTTTTGCTTTATATGTGGTATGGTTGGTCACTCAGATAATTTTTGTCCTTTGCATTATGAAGAAGGTTTGATTTTGGAAAAAAGATTTAGATCTCATCTTAGAGCAGGTAGCGGGGTAAAGATAAAGATGTAACACCCCCCCCCCCCCCAAGTATTTGTACTTTATTGGTTTATGTATTGAACCTTGAGAAATGAATAAACGCATTGTTACGTAATTGTAAATTTTTCATTTCTTTTACGTGAATAATAGAATTCACGTGGGACCCACACTAGGAGTGAGGGCCACCCGATATCCTCAGGACCACCTATTATATTCGTCTGGGTCTAGATAATATCTATATGATGGTGGATATCCATGTTGGGCTATAGAAACGGTGTACATAGACGTTAGTTGTCTTGTATAAAAAGTGTCTGTGTACATAGACACTATAGCAAACCAATGTCGGTGTAGATAAAACGTAAAAAGAAAGAAGGAAAGAAAAAGAAGAAGATGATGATGGAGATAATGAAGATGATTAGGGTGAATAAAACCTAAAAAAAAAGGAAGAAGAAGAAGAATAAGAAGATGAAGGAGAAAGGAAGAAAGAAATAAGAAAGAACAAGATGTTGAAGAAGAAGAAAAGGAAAGAAGAAAGAGAGGAGGGAGGGGGGTCCGTATGATTCAAATGGGAGAGGAGTGGAGAGAAGAGAGTGGAGAGAAAAAAGTTGGGAGGGGAGAAATAAGAAATGTCACGCCCCGGACCTATCCGGACACGTCAACAATCCGCCGTACAGTACGAATAGTCAACCGCAGTCCAACACATTCATACTATACAAAGCGTCTGGGATATCATTCACACATAGTACATCCATAAACAAACGTAATGTAAAATATTCATTCAAAGCAGCGGAAACATTTAATATAAGTGTTCGTGCCACACTTTGGCAAACATGGGCATACAAGCCCCCAAATGATTATTCAAAAATATAATATCCATGAGCACGAACCACGTCTTCCTTCCTTGAATTCTCCCGGAGCAACGGGCACTGGTAGCAAGCTCAGCTCCTACCTGAAACTGTGAGGTGGCCTCCCCCGTGAAGGGGAGGTCAGTACTTGGAAGCATTTGACAAGTACAATGACAACTATACTAAGTATAATCAATGTTTCAATTTCCAAGACCCTCAATCTAGGGTGTTATTATCTCATGATTAACTTTGTTCGTTTAGTGTCAATTCATCATTACTTTCCACGGTCTAGAGCCCAGCTCAATAATCACCGTTACCTACTACGGTCTAGAGCCCAGCTCAATAATCACCGTCATCTACATCGGTCTAGAGCCCAGCTCAATAATCACCGATAACTACTACGGTCTAGAGCCCAGCTCAATAATCACCGTTATCTACATCGGTCTAGAGCCCAGCTCAATAATCACCGATAACTATTACGGTCTAGAGCCCAGCTCAATAATCACCGTTATCTACATCGGTCTAGAGCCCAGCTCAATAATCACCGATTCTTTACAATTCAATTTCTTAGGATCCATTCATCCATTATTCAACTACAATCCCAACTAATATTTCAATACTAGTTATTTACTCATTTCAATGTAATTCTTCATTCAATATGTAGTTTGACCCTAATATCAAAATATTACTTTTATTCTTTCATGGCTTCTTCTCATGAAATAAAAGCATACTTATCACAAATGGGATTCATGGTTGATACTACTATCATGCCATCATATTCATAACACATAAACATACACAATTTATTCAATAAATTTGTATATTATGCAAACTATACTCATATTCAACAGTAATTTCATTTAGGCATTATTAACCATTAATAATCCATGCAAATCACATTGTGTATTCATTTAGGAAATCTTATGAAATTAACCCAAAGATTATAAGCAATATAGTCGGTCATCCTCACCTTAAGTGAGCTCACGCGCGTTCTACGCTCCCCGATTGAACTTTGACTAATCCCGGCGAACTTTGACCAACTCCGGCGAACTTTGACCAACTCCGGCGAAACTCCGGCGAAGCCCAAAAATACTTTAATCAAGTTCCTAACAAGGTTTTAACATCATAAAACCTTAATCAATACAAAGAACCTCTAAAAGGTTATTTTCCGGTGAACTTGTCGGTTTGGCTTCCAAGTCCGTTCTTGGACTTAGAACCACACTCCAACCCATTTTTCTACACTTAAATTATGTAGAGCAACCCTCAAGGTTCTTCATATGATATATATCTCATATGATAGAAGGAAAATAAAGGAAAAGTTAGTATAGGGTCATTACCTTAATCTTTCTCACTTTCTCCCAACTTTTCCTTCCTAAAATCCCTCCTTTGGACTCCTTAAGCTTGAGCTTGTGCTGCAAAAATGGAGGATGGGTTGAGAGCTCCTTCTTTCTCCTCTCTTGGGGGTTGGCCGAATAATGGAAGGGAAAGGGGGGTGGGGGTTCCCCTTTGTCTCATTTGGCAAATGAGTGAGGTCAAAGGGTCCCTTTGCACCTCCTCCACTCATCCTCTTGTCAACTCTACTCTCCCTTTGTCTATTCTAGCACAAAAAACGTGGGGTGGCCCCCACTCATGTGGGAGGTCATCCCCTTGTGTCCCAATGTGTACAATCGGTCCCGAAAGTTGTATTTTTCGGACTGTTTTAAATATATTTTATTTTATCGGGTCAAATAAAGTATATGACGTGTTTCCAATCATTATGACCCTTATGATGAATATACATCCCCCAACTTTAATTTATAAGTTCCCGAAATTCATTTCGGGTTTTTATCTGTTAAATTACCAATACCGGTATTTTGGCCTTTTTGATCAACCGGTCAACTCTATATCATTTCTTTGGACCAAATAAATTATCCACCACTATATAAATATTATATTGACCAAGATGAATAAAATATACGGTCTCGGGAATATCGGGCGGCCCCCGCTCCCGGTGTGGGCCCCGCATGCAATTTACTATTCACGCGAATAAGAATAATAAAAATTCACAACTTCGCATACTCATTAATCATTCCACAAGGTTCAATACATTATTCACTTTAAAAGTAAATACCTTTGGGGACGGTGCTACAAGAAATGGGGGGGGATTATATAGGGTGTACACCAAGGTGTAACCCAAGGTGTACCAAAAGAATTTTTCTTCCGAAGTTTATTGATACGTAGTATAAGGATTTCCGTAAGTTAAAGTGAAAATACTTCTCTCTGTAGGGTTATCGGCCGATAACCCTACGACTAGGACTGTTCGCCTTCGTTTTTTCGGAGTGCGAGTATTATTGGTTAGGAAGGTGGTGAGGGGACGGTGTAGACGGTTGGTTAGGAGAACGGTGGTCTCGGATTGGGAGCAGGGCGGTGAAGTTGGTTATTTAACCAGGTCATTCGGACGAAAGCAGGCGGTGTGGCTGGTTCATTGGAGTCATAGTTCCGGCAAAGCCTTCCATATCTCCATGGAGAACGTTGTTGATCGATATAAGCGGATGGCGATTGGAGACGAAGAGGAAGAGATAAATCTTGACGATGGAGAGGTTGAAGACGTTCCAGTGGAGGAAGCGGCGGTGGGCTTCCCGGTGCTCGGGCAAGTGCTAACTGACCGCAAGGTCAGGTTCGCGGAGCTTAAAGAAAAGATGCTTACTCTCTGGAGGCCGAGGAAATGTATGTCGGTTAAGGAAATCGGAGAAAAGAGGTACTTGTTTTCTTTTAGTCATCGTTTTGATATGGAACGTGTTCTGGATGGGGGCCCTTGGCAGTATGAATGTAGTTTGGTTTTGCTTAAAGAGATTATGCCTGATGATATACCACACAAAATCATTTTGAATGAGGCTGAATTTTGGGTCTAGATTCACAATGTTCCTTACAATCTGGTAAATCTAGACACTGTTAGACGTGTTGGGAGTTTTTTAGGAGAGTTTGTCAAATATGATGATTATCATAAAAAAGAAAAATTAGAGTCATCCATGCGAGTTAGGGTTCTTATGACGATGGATAAATCTCTAAACAAG